TGTTAATGTTAATGTTAACTTAATGTTAATTTGTGCTGCATAATTCCACCAATGTATACATTTGGTAAAATGCCTGCACAAATAGCTGCATATCTAAAACTTAAAAATCCTGAGTACACAGGTCATAGTTTTCGTAGATCCTCCGCTACCATATTAGCCGATTCTGGGAAAGGAATTTCCAATGTTAAGCGACTTGGAGGTTGGAAATCAACGGCTGTCGCCGAGAGCTACAGCTATGTAGCTATATAACTATATATGTATACATAAAAGAATCCATGACCCAAAAAAAAAATTATTAAATAAAATATTGGACATAAAAAACGGCTCTTCCGAGTTAAGCCAAACTTTATTAAATAGTACAAGTCACCCGTTGAATGAATTAACCTGTTCTACAATTAATTTAGAAGATCTTAATAATAATTATTAACAACAATTATTGTTCCTTTGTAATAAAAATTAATTTAATATTCATTATTAATAATTAATTAACAATTTAGCCGGTTAAGCCGGCTAAAAAAGTTAACTAAGTTAATTAGCTAGCTAACTGATCAGCTTAGCTAATTTAACCGGTTAACTGGATTAGCTCAGCTAATTAGCTGGCAGCTTAACCGGTTAATGCAGCTTAGCTCAGCTAATTAGCTAACGGCTAAACGGCTATTAGCTGAGCTAAGCTAGATTAACCGGTTAAGCCGCCAGCTAATTAGCTAAGCTCGGTTTCGCCTCGGGCATCATGGCGCGCAGTGCAGGAATCTCACACTTTCTGCCCTTGTAGTGTAATATACTATTTCCAAACTTACTGCTTGCCCGAACTCGTTGTTCGTGCAATTGCAGTAGCGTGCAGAAAAATGTAACTTTGCTCACTAGTTAGGAAAATAACTATTTTAACATAATCATATTTTGAAGTTATTTTAATATTTTAAAGTATCAATAATAATTATTGTTGAGTTTAATTAAAATAATAACGGGCAAAGTTAAAGGTGAAAATTATGTCAAAAATGTTTATTGGGGTGGTTACTTTATTTTCGTATAGATGTCGCTTTATACAAATATTTAATTTAAACAACTTTTTAGATAATTTTAATATTTGTTGTAGAAGAAGTATAGTATGCAAACTTGATACATAATATACTATTTTTATATGCATGAATCGAGTTTTAATCACATTACGATGGGTTATATATTTTTAATAGTTTTGTTATTTTTATTGTAATTTTAATTTGGACATTTCACTTTTTGCTGTTATTGTATGATCTTTAAAACAAGAAGAACTTTCCTTATAACATCTTGCAAATTATACCGAACCTACACAAAACAAGTTACTTAACGATAACAATTAATTGTTTACTCTTTAGAAAATAACAGTCAATTTAATACGATTTATATCATGGTATATTATGTTTATGCTATAAGCTTAATGCTAACTATTAATTTACTGTGCAAAAATTGTTCTTCTTCGGCTGCATGAAAAAGTGCTTAATATCATTTCTTCCGTGTTGACATTAGTGTCATTTCTATTTAATTGTATTATTTAAGATAGGATGCAAAAGAAAATAAGAAAGCAAACACCAACATAATGGCTTGTAAAGGTGAATATTCTGAAAAAGATAGTCCAATATAGGTCGAATTGATAGAGCCTGCATAAACACTCCGCTTTGATCCGCATTTTTATGTTAAAACCGCACGGAAACACAAGCACAACAGTTTATTTTTTTATTTTATAATAATTCCAGTCAGCTATATCTAAATTATTTTAATAGAAATACCAGTTTTGGTTAAGATTTTTTAAATAAAACAGATGCTCATTTAAATTTGTTAACGGTGTCATAGGATTTTGTTAAAAGATTTCATAAATTTAAACTAAAACATATACACCATTACCTGGAAAAATATAATTTTATTTTTATTAATTTGTTTCCAGATTTCTATAAACAATAGAAATTCATTCCATGTATGGGTATCTTTTTTAATTGAAGATCTACAAGGTCGTTTAAGTTGGTAAGCTAGTCGTAAAAACATTAGTAACATTAGTTTTAACGGCTTTAAATTTTGAGTACGTAATTATAATTCTTGATAGCCTTAAGGCTATTATCGTAATTCTATTTGTCTCATTTATAATAACACATATAAAGGTATTTTTTCTAGAGAGTGTACATGAACACGAGAGATTTCCTCCTCCTGGGGCTGTAGAGTTTCAGGTCCTTTGACGTGGCCTTGAACAACGCCAAGCAACGTGCCAGAAATCAAAGAAAAGCCTTACTTTACAAAACAAATTAAAAACCTTTTTTAGGATTTTTATTATTTAAAATATTTTTTAACAAATTTTTATTTTTTTAAATATTTCTTAATTATTTTCTGTGCCTGTATTTGTAATGATAAAAATTAATAAAATTATAGGAATGTTAAGTCCTATATACATTTATTGGCATAACTTTTTCAAAGGATAACGGGCAATTCTTGGCCAAGTTTTAACCTGATATGGCTCTTTGGGTAATCAGCATGAATATCTTTTTTTTTGTAAGTACATAATATTATATCAAACTTCATAAGTTATGGCTGCCATTATAATATAAAGATGGTGTACTTCACAGTCTAAATAAATACAATCCATGACCGGTGATTAGACAAAAAATATTGTGTCACAGATAATAAAAAACAGATTTTTTTATGACCCTAAAATTCGTGTTTATTTTTATTTTAAATATGCGTAAAATGAACAGTGAAAACATTTACAACAACAACAAATAATTTAATTTAATATTAAACACATATTGTTGGCAAATGTAAGCACTATTTAACAAACAAAAGCGGGGTGTCCCATTTATGGACTAATTTTTTTACTGCCAAGGCATGTGCCAGCACAAAAGCCAAGAACTAGTCATAAATTATTTATTCTTTACGGGTAATCTAAAGACATCAATTAACGCCTCAAGTCGTGTTTCCTTTTATAATAAATACAATTTTAGTTGTTAGACATAATTTGTCTGGTAGAGTTTGCTTTGTAAGTATGTTAGGTTATACATACACACTGTACCCACTGTATAAGTCAAAGGTCGGCATTCCAATGTTTGGCGCAAAAGAATGATGAACAAAAAGATAAAAATAGGTTACTGTCATTTGTCAAACAAATTTCTATTTAGTTGCTGTTTTGATGACATTTGTATTATCTACGTTTATAAAACTTTAAATAATCAAGCAGTCGTAATGTAATTCTTTTGTTTCACGAATTGTCATAATTTCAGCGCTTATCATTGTTGTAAACTTATTTATGCGGACATTCGATTGTTCCGAAATCACTCATTGTAAGATTTATTTGTACCGGTTTAAATCCTCTAAGATTGTTAAATTCAATTTAGTTGTGCCTACCTACATATTTATTGACATAACCTTTTTGTATTTTAATAGGATATTTAAATAACTGTTAACAGTGACAAGGGACATTTATCATATTTGTAAATAAACATACTTATATAATTATAGGTTAAATTAAATTAAAAAATATAAATAAATTCAGATGACAATACAATTCATTATAATTAGAACCAATAAAATGCCAGTATTCCATGGTTACGCATTTTATCACAGACAATATTTTTTATCAAATTGTTTACACGTTGCTAAGGTTTTGACACTTTCCTTGATTTGACATTTGTTGACATTTAACTACTGTGTTTGTTAAATGATTAAAATAATGAATTATAAACTCTAAAAGATCGATGGGTTGGTGTAAACGATTAATTAAGTAAGGTAAGTTTGAAGAAATAAGGTTTACTAAAGTCTTTTTATATTTTAAAACACATTTTAATTTCAAATGTCAAACAGACAATTCGTTAAATCCTAAAATTCATTATAAATATTTTCTTACTAAATATAACTCTTGGTATGATTAATAATCGATAATCATACCACTTGTTTTATTATGGGTGATGATAATTCGATAAAAAAATATTTCTACACTGATAAAAATCAGATTTGTTAACATGAGTTTGTAGTTTGTTAATTTTATTTTGTAAAATGTTAACATATTTTTTTGTAGAAAATCAAGATTTTTAATTATTTTATCAACGGAAAATATTTTACCGAAAGTTTTGTAAAGGTTATATGCAATGTTGTAAGCATTTAGTTAATTTCAAAGGTAACAGATTATTTTGTTAATGTTTAACAAATTATTTCGTTGAAAAAGTACACGTGATTTCAGGCAGTCAATTAAAACATTTCCCACTGAAAATACGCATCCAAGTTCAACTGACTTCAGCCAGGGCCAGGGAGTGGAGGACTCTAATTATTTTTCAAATAGTTTAAATAATATTTTTCTTGCAAGTGTTTCAATTATTTATTTATTTAGTCCTATGGCATAAATATATAGAACAGGCAATTAGAAATCAAATCACACAATAAGTAAAAAATCTTTAAATTAAAGCCTCTCATGCGAATGGCACCTTGCGAGCTTTTTTCAACGAAAAATCTTTGATGATTTCGCTGAAATCCAGATCCCGCAGTAAATCACTTTCAATGCTAACTAGGAATAACTTTGATATGCGGTTTTCTCAAATCGTAGTTCTTAGCCTATTTTTTATAATTTTCATTTTTGAAAATGAGCGCTCTCCAGTGCAACTTGACACCATCAAAACCAAGTACATTCGCAGTGTGATTTCTATGATTGGGAATGTAGCTCTGAAATTTCGATTTTCTAGAATTTGATAATAGAACAGCTCCTTAGATATGTCCATATTATAGTCTGTTTTGTATAAGTTCATCAAAGATACAAATTGAACCAACTCATTACCAAGACTAGGTTCTAAATCGTCTTGGTAAACTTTTACCAATTCATCTGCTGCAGCATACAAATTTACAGCATCCATCTCCTCTAAATGATTAAGAAATCCAAATTTTGAACGTACATCATCCTTTATATATGCATGCAATCTTTCAGTAAGAGAAACATATAGCTGATCGATCACTGGGATAAAGTCTGCGCTTTAAATTTATCTTTTGGTGACAAGTTAGCTAACGTTATGATCTTGTGCTTTCATATAATCGACCGGATCCAACCTAACATTTCTAGTTCTGGTGCGAGATTGTACGTACTGGTCAGTACTTCCAGCAGCTTCTTCGTATTTGTCAAACTTGTCTCTTTTGGATTTAACAAGAGTCATTTTCGGGTCCTGCAAGATCTTGTTTGTAGCATAAAATGGCTAAAAAATGTCGTTCCAAAAGATGGCAAATAGAGTGGTTTCGAGAAAACTCATCTTCTCCAAAATATGCGTTGCTTCAATTATCACGATCTCTTTTTGCTCCTTATCACAAGATATACTGGTAAGAGCTTCTTTGATTTCAGAATAAACCGTTGACAATAGCTTTCGTAGCTTCAGCTCGACAAGACCAGCGTGTATCGCTAAGCCTTTTCAACTCGTAAAACTGTTTGTTTGTTTTTTCCGATAATTTTTCAGTTAAAATTCGGTATATTCCTGTACTTACTGTGAAAAACGTATATAAATTCTGAACGAAATCAAAGAATTGCACAGCCGATGTGCAAGCATTAGCAGCATTTCCAACTAAATTAAGAGAATGACCACAACATGGTACAAACACTGATAAAGGATTTTTCACCAAAATCAGAGCTTGCATGCCTTTGTATTTGCTACTCATATTTGCAGCATTATTGTATGATTGGCCGCGACAATCGCTAATGTCATTTTTATGGTCGCCTAAAAATTTTAGTATTTTTCTTTGGCATCAATCCTTCAATATATCGAACAACTATAGTCAGTTGATCGATATGAGATTCGTCGGGCGTGGAGTCCACTGACACCGAATAATACTTTTTTTATTTCTTGATATTATTTCATTGAGAACTTTATCACCCATGGAACTGATCAGTTCTTCACAAATCGTAGACGAAAGTTTTTTTTTTTAATAAATACAATTTATGTGGGAGCCCCTCTCTTGTGGAGGCCCCGGGCAGTTGCCCTGATTGCCCTCCCTTAAATCCGGCGTCTGCCATTTATGTTTCTACTTACTTTATTCTTATTCGTAATATATAATTAATTACCAGAAATCTGTTGTTATTGTTATTTGGATTCATTATACTTATTTAACGAGTGTGCGAAGTATACGAAAAAACATGCCATCACTGGTTTTTAAACTGAAATTAGGGAATACAGTGGAGTGGGTTAAAGTTACGAAATGCATCAGTAAGTTTTGGTAGCAATACTGATAATAATTATTATATTGTACCAAATTTCTTTATAATTTGATGATTTCAGAATGGTGTGCTATTTAATTGTGTGTATGTTATTTTTGTGTTCATTCATGTAGGTATGTGTTAATTTTTTTGTTTAGGAAATTTATTAATAAAGCAACTTTTCTATCTAAACTTTTTTCATAATATCTACGTCACATTTAAATGCATAGGAAACCCAATAGCTACTTAGTACCTAGATACTTTGCACTTTATAGTGCTATAGCACTTATGAACAGCTAGATTCATGATTACGCAAAAACGTAATCTTTTAAAGTGCTTTATAAATTACATTTTTTTCTCTCAATTTTAAAAAACCAAATTCTGTCTAGGAGTTTAGTTATCGATGGTTGTGGTAGACGACGTGTCGTAGTCAACATCTGCGAGGCGGCTCGACCTACTGACCCACTCGCCCACTTCCTCCACACTCGTCGTCTTCTTCTGCTGCTGCTGCTGCACCAAGAAGAGGCCGGATTTGTATGCATTTTAGAATCGAAAAAGTGCAAAAAAACAAAAATATTTAGATACACTTGTACCTAAAGGAAATAGGTTTTATAAAGTTATTTGTTTTTTTAATATTATACAGGGTGACTATTTTTTCCTGATCAACTAAAACCTAACCGAATTGTTTCTTACACTCCCTTAGTTAAATTAGATTTTCTTGTCTCTTTACTAAATTTTTAGTCCTGGCATTTTTATTTGTTTTAAGTTTTAGGAATGGTTTTAATCACTTTCCTCATATTTGTCGGGGTCAGGAGTACTGTTTAAAACTGTCTATTACCATTTTTTTAACTGTATTTTTATTAAATAAACGTTTTTCGTTTTAAGTTCTCAAATGTCATACAATGGTTAATATAAAGTGCCTTTCTTGTAAAATTATACTAAATGTGAATATTATTTTATTATTTCAATACAAAAAATACAAAAGTATTAAAAAGTTTCTTGACGCCAATATTGGAAAAGATTAAATTAACGTTTGTACTGATTTTGTCGTAGTAGTGCAATTAACTGGATTTAACTAATAAAGCGTTAAAAAATTTGAGTACAGTGCCCATACAATATTCTCTTTTCTTTTACTGTGAAAAACTGCTTCTATATCGATTGTTAGTCTATTTTCAAGGGATAAGTTTTGATTTACACAGAAGAATTTGAGATTTTAACACCGGTAAATTCTAACGGAAATTCCAATAAATACAACTGTCACTTTTTGTACCTTTAACATTTTCCGTGTAAGAATTGTTAATAATTTGTGATATTATTTTGCAATAATAGTAATAAAAAAAATCAAAGGAAAACATATTTTCTTACCATAATCATATTTTGAAGTTATTTAAATATAAAGTTTAATTAAAATAATAACGGGCAATGTTAATGGTAAAAATTACGTCAAAAATGTTTATTGGGATGGTTACTTTATTTTTGTATAGATGTTGCTTTATACAAATGAAAAAGGCGTTTATCACTTGATACATAATAGGCTATTACAAATTTGAGAGATAATTTGTCAACAATCCGGTCTCTGGTTTCCATGGGCAGATGGCTGACAATTCCATCGTGGGCCATATATTCATACTTCATAATTCACGGATCTAAAACGATATTTTTGTAAACTTAAACGTTATAAATTTAATATACCGGGTGTTTCTACTTAAAAAGGAACAAGTAATAGACGCTGTTAAAAAACTTTTTTCAAATAAATTTATGTAAGCTTTTGTTTTCGAATTATCGACCTTCTTTTGTTTTCCATAAACCTTTTTATCTCTGTTATTTATGGCCATTTTGTAGTATCAAAAATGATTTTTTTATTTAGCCTTTGTCCAAAATTTGAAAAAATCAAAATTATTAAAATTTAAAATTCAGAGAAAAATATTAATTTTTCGATAGCCCCGATCTAATATAGTTAAAAAAAACTTGTATTTGCTTAAAGATTAAAAATAAAATAAAAATGAAAAAAATACAAACAGTGTAGAAAATGGATTTTTAGTTTTCGAAATGTGCCGATATGCCACAGCATCAAAAATGATCGATGATATATTGGCAAAATCGTTATAATCATGAAAATTTAAAAAATCATATCCAAAAACAATTGACAAACCGTGCTAAAATTAAAATTGAATTTTTATTTTGAGTCAGGGAACCCATGGAAAAATTTCCGAGGAATTTCGAAGTAGCAAGGGTTTTCTTCGTTTTGAATTCACGTGGAATTCCCCATATAAATTTAATGAAATAAACAATTCATCCTTTTAGCCAATAACATTAAATTGTAATTGTGGTATTAGATATTTCTTGTTTAAAGCAAAATATACATTTCCGGGAGATATCAATCAAAGGGAGAAGACGAACCTTTATGCCAATACTTTAAACTAAAGCAGGCCCGTGCTCAAGGGGGGAAGAAGGGGGTTAAAATTCTTCGGTTGATCTCCCTAAACACAAAAAAAATTATCCCAGCTCTGTTGCATTTTTTTTACAAGACAGTGTTATTATTTTAAATGTATATACAGGGCTTTTAATAAAAATTAGCCATGGCTTAAGGGTGCACCCTTAATAACTTTGGAAATTCAATTACTGATTCATTAAAGTTAAAATAAATTTAAATTCAATTATATATATACAGTGTGACCCGTTTGTTTGCGACTCACCCCTGTAAAATCTTTATTTATTGTGCGATTTTAACCGGATTTGTTTTAAAGTGTAGACCTTGATAAACTGTATTTTTGGAGCAAAAAACGCCATATTTGTCCAAAGACCTACTATGGGCCTACTATGTCAGTTTTTAAGAGTAAATTTTTAAGAATTCATATTAGCGATTTTTTAAAAGAAAATCATGGTACTATTACTATAAGTTTAATTTTATTTCAATGTTTTTTCATGGAAACCTTGACAGAATAAATTTTTATAGTTATTATTGTGCATTTTTCTACTTAAAATTTTTCAATAAAATTCAGTATAGGGTCGTTTTGAGGGGTGGTGAATCCAGTGCCGTGCTTAGATTTTGTTTAAAAAAAATCGCTATTATGAATTCTTCAAAATTTAATCTTTAAAACTGACATAGTAGTAGTAGGCCTTGTATTTAGTACAAATATGGCGTTTTTTGTTCCAAAAATACAGTTTATCAAGATCTACACTTTAAATCAAATCCGGTTAAAATCGCACAATAAATAAAGATTTTACAGGGGCGAGTCGCAAACAAATGGGTCACACTGTATATATATAATTGAATTTAAATTTATTTTAACTTTAATTGATCAGTAATTGAATTTCCAAAGTTATTAAGGGTGGCTAATTTTTATTAAAAGCCCTGTATAATGTACAGTGTATATACATTTAAAATAATCCCAAACAAATGGGTCACACTATATATTAGGGTGTTTCAAAATAAGGCTATGATTTTCTTTTTTCAAATTCATTTGAAATTCTTGTCACTTATGCATGCTGAAAAAAAATTCTGTCAAAATTTGAGCTCTTAATATTAATTTTAAAAGGTCCTTCATCGAATTTAAAGTTTTTCCATTGATTTAACATTAAAAAATAGGTTTTTAAGATTTATTTCGCCTGCATACTATGTAGAACTTTTTTTTTGATAAACAATCACTGTTCCTTTTTTAGCATTAAATAATCTCCAAAAAATCTTATAGAGTCCAGTTTGTAGATTCAACTCTTTCTTTTTTATTAACGTTGAAACGTATAAATTCTAAAAAAAATGATATTTTTACATTTAGCGGCTAAAGTACTAATCGTAGAAGAAAAAGTTAATTAGCAATTTTAAAGATCTTTTAATGCTCTACAAATTTGTTTTAAACAATTTTTTTTAACACCTACAGTTCAAAAGTCTAAAATCCTATTTTCATTATTCTGCATAATATATTATTATAATATTCACTGTAGGAAAAACAGTTTAAGGGCAATTTTGCAGGAAACTTGAAGCTCTATAAATAACGTTCCAAGGTTCTTCAATACACTCAATTAATTCTCAATTAATTGAGTGTGTTGAAGAATCTTCGTACGTTATTTAAGTGCTTCGAGTTTCCTGCAAAATTGTCCCTAAACTTTTTTCCTATACAGTGAATATTATAATAATATATACTCTTTTATAAATTGTATTGCTTAAAGAAAAAAGTCCTTAGTGGAAGAAGTATATATACTATAGTTTTCTTGAAAACAGATACAAAATCTCTTGAACCTTTCAACCAAGTGCAAAGTGTTTTTATTTAAAAGCTATGCAAATTATTTATATTTACGCAGTTCATTCAAGATTCAACTTCCAATTCGTCATTTTCTATGGGCAGTGATATAATATTATAATTCCATTATAGGTATTTCTAATATAGATTTTGCAGGTTGTTGTGTTGTGGCGTGTTGTATGTACTTTCACAGTGGAGTTGGAATCATTAAAAAAACTCTTTTTAAA